GGGAGGATATCTTGAGCCCAGCAGTTTGAGGCTGCACTGAGCCAGGATCAGGACCACTGTACTCCAGCCTAAGTGGCTGAGTAATACCCTGACTCAAGTGGGGGCAGGCGGAGAGAGATTAAGCAGTTCAGCAGAATGGAAAAATAACTTGACCAGAGAAATGTGGTATACCTGCCAATCAAAACAAAAAACCCACTTGAGGTCAGAGGATATAAATTTAAGGTGAGACTAATAAATGTGTTTCCCAACCATCCTTCACGTTTTTCTAAGAATAAGAACATTCTCGTCCTTTAAAAATGAAATGCTTAGACCAACACAGTGGCCCCCCAACTTGTAATCCTAGCGCTTCGGGAGGCTGTGGTGAGAAGATGGCTTGAGCCCCAGGAGTTTGAGGCCAGCCTGGGCAACATGGCAAAACCTCATCATTTTGTATTTTGAAAACAAAATACAAAAATTAGCCAGTCATGATGGCACGCATTTGTGTGGTCCTATCTACTCAGGAGGCTAAGGCAGGAGGATCACCTGGGCCCAGGGAAGGTCAAAGCTGCAGTGGGCTGTGATCGCACCACTACATTTCAGCCTGGGCTACAAAGTTTAATACTCATGATTACGTACCAAGCACTGTGTTTTGGGTAGCCTCGCTACATTTAGTCAGTCCAGAAACTTAAATACTATGGTATATCCTATGAGCAACCTTCTTGAAAGTATTTTGTAACTGGGTGCAGTGGCACGTGCCTATAGTCCCAGCTACTCGGGAGGCTGAGGTGGGAGAATCGCTTGAGCCCAAGAGTTCTGTGCTGTAGTGCGCTATGCCGATTTGGGTGTCCACGCTAAGTTCGGCATCACTATGGTGACCTCCCGGGAGCGGGGGACCACCAGGTTGCCTAAGGAGGGGTGAACCGGCCCAAGTGGGAAATGGAGAGGGTCAAAACACCCGTGCTGATCAGTAGTGAGGTACTGCCTTGAATAGCCACTGCACTCTAGCCTGGGCAACATAGCCGAGATACCGTCTCTTAAAAAAAGAAAGTATTGTGTTTAGGATAAATCCTAAACAGTATTCATACCATACAAATACCTGATTAACTCACAAAATGTTAGTATTTTTCTTTTTTTTTTTGAGATGGAAGTTTCACTCATCACCCAGACTGGAGTGCAGTGGGGCAATCTTGGCCTACTGTAACCTCCACCTCCCAGGTTCAAATGATTCTCCTATCTCAGCCTCCCAAGTAGCTGGAATTGCAGGCACTTGCCACCACAACCAGCTAATTTTTTTATTTATTACTAGACACAGGGTTTCACCATGTTGGCCAGGCTGATCTCGAACTCCTAACCTCAAGTGATCCACCCACCTAGGCCTCTGAAAGTGCTGGGATTACAGACGTGAGTCACCGCACCTGGCCGGAGTTATTTCTAAATAGAACATCAGAATCATCTATTTCAGAAAAATCGTATTCATCAAATGAATCTGTGGCCAACAACCATTTGAGAATGGTGTTAACATCACACATAGGAATGCTATGTTTTCTAGGATTTGACATTGACAGTGATCAAGAATTACTATAGGGCCGGGCGCGGTGGCTCACGCCTGTAATCCCAGCACTTTGGGAGGCCGAGGCGGGCAGATCACGAGGTCAAGAGATCGAGACCATCCTGGTCAACGTGGTGAAACCCCGTCTCTACTAAAAATACAAAAAATTAGCTGGGCATGGTGGTGCGTGCCTGTAATCCCAGGTACTCAGGAGGCTGAGGCAGGAGAA